TTCGTTTGTGGCTATTTGAGAATTTTGAGTGAGTGAATGGTTGAGATGATTTGGGCCATCATCATTCGGCGTTTGATGTGATATGTCCGAGCAAGTCGGTCCTTGGTTGTATGTGATTGCGAGCTTGGCCGTTTCTATTCACAGAGCCTTGTATAACGGAACGGAACGTTTGTAACGGTCTGTTTGTCTAACGGAACGGAATGAAGCAGAGTGTAAACGAGGTAGCTAGCTAAGACTCGTAGAGCAGACGATGAGGAGGGATAACAGTGCAATCACTGGTGTTGGTAAAGGATAGGAGGAAAATTGCGCCGGTACGGGGTATTCCTTCTTTCTTCCTGGGTGGCGGAGGTATGAGCATCATAACTGCACCCATAACTGCATCTGGCTTCATTTGAGTCTACATACAGGGATTATAACCTTGATTCGTAAAATTCGGATGACGATAGTAGGCATTTCGCCATCCCGCCCAGTGTTCTATAGCAGCTCTGTAGTTTGGACCAGGCGTTCTATTCGGATATGTGGTGGTAGTTGTAGATTCGTATCGGATCTGTCAATCACTTCCGCTTCGAGATCGTGGGGTGGGGTATGTGTTTAGAAGATAAACGCTGGCAGCCCGTGACCGACTACCGTCTTCACGCGAATATAACGCTGGTCATTTTTCGTTTTTTTTTGGTGAACTCTATCTAGATTTTGTGATAATAATGATCGGGCGCTATATTGGGGTGAAGACGGTACGCCAGCATCTTCGTCTCTCGGTGTCTGCTGCTCGTTGAAAATCGTGTCTCTTCGTTGAATCGAACGCCTGTTCCGTTGCTTGTAGATTGGTTGATAGACCATACCGCTCCGTGGTAGCTGTGTCTGTGCGCGTTTGCGTGTGTTGAAGAGAAGTGGAGAATGCTGAGTGATGTTTTTTATCTGGCCGAGGATTGGAATGAAGGATATATGCTTGGCAGTAGCGGCCGTTGTCGCCAGACGGCTCACTCCTGCCAGTCGGTAGCAGTCTGCTTGTGAGGAGCATCTCGGCAAGTGAACGATGCAGTCGCATGAATCAAAGAAAGAGAGAGAGAGAGAGAGAGAACAGTCGGATGAATCAAACAGAGAGAGAGAGAGAGAGAGAGAGAGAGAGAGAGAACAGTCGGATGAATCAAACAGAGAGAGAGAGAGAGAGAGAGAGGCAAGTGAACGATGCAGTCGGATGAATAAAAACAAAAAAGAAAGAGAGAGAGAGAGAGAGGGAGAGAGAGGGAGAGAGAGAGAGAAGTCGGATGAATCAAACACAGAGAGAGAGAGAGAGAGAGAGAGAGAGAGAGAGAGAGAGAGAGAGAGAGAGAGAAGAGGGCAGCAGTGTGGGAGGAAGGGTATGAGATAGGATTAGTGCTCGTCGTGATTACGTGGTCCGGATTGAAGGGAGACGTCAGGAGGGGACGTAGCGTCGTGTGGTGTGGCCGTTGGTGATTCTCTGTACTTGGTCACTCCTGAAGTTGGTTCGTGGTGAAAAAGTAATATCCGTTACAATTGGAACGAAACAGAGAAGGGTAAATTAGCAAATGGTCCCTGCGCAAGGAAGAATCCCATAAATCGATAAATCGTCCCCAAAAAAGAATTCTAGTGGAGATGCCTGTTTGTTGCGACGTGTTTTTGTTCCCTAAACAGTGGTGGAAAGGTCTTTTTTCCCTAAATAGTGGTTTGCTGTAATGAAACGAGTTGTGTTTGAAGAGGAAAAAAAGAGAAACGAAAGAAAAAAAAGAAAGGTAGTGGTTTAAATTGGGGACGCCGTGTAATACATGATCGTGAACGTCGAGTTTCAGAGACAAAAAAGAGAAAAAAAGGGAGTAGAGATGTGCGAAATCGGCTATTCTTCGACTCCTGAATTGTGAAAGACTGCTTTCCGTGGTTTATGCGCATCTAAGTTCTGGTGCGGGAATTTTTTTTTTCAGTTTTTTTTTGGCTTGGTTTGTTTTCGGGGGGGTGGGAGAGGGGTGAAAACAGAGGAACGAGGCTCGGGATCTCATAATTCGACTGTGAAGTATCTGAGGTGACCTATCCAGCTTAAGCTTCGGAAATGAGAAAGAGATCCTTTGGAGGGAAAATACACGGGACATGGAGATTGGGCCCAGTGTCCCGTTTCCCTCTTTAGGAAGTCAAATACATGGGACATGGAAATTGGGCCCAGTGTCCCGTTTCCCTCTTTAGGAAGTTTCCCAAAAAAACGTGTTTCATTGCAGCACGTTGCAAACGGCAGCAAACGGAAGCAAACGGAAGGTAAAATCTGTTAGGGTGATGTAATATATTCTTTGAAGAGGAAACACGTGAACTTGTGGATTGGTTTCTGTTTTTTCACTCGAGGATGTGCGCGGCTTATACGTAGTTGTAGCTCATGAACGTGTGGATCTGTTTTTGACTTTTCACTGGTGGATCTGCGCTGCTTTGACTTGTGTTTTTACGTCTGTTTTACTTGTACTTCGCTTTCTCATATAGGTATTACGTTTTACTTGTTGCTTTCTCTATATAGGTATATTACCCTTTCGTCGGGGCCGTGTCTTGTGTGTGAAACTTTTCGTATGTTCTTCTCCCCTCTGAAAATTTTAGCCAACCCTTGCGTCCAGACTGCGACCTGTTTGGTGTCCGTGCGGGCTTTCGTTTGGTGTCTGTGCGTGCTTCCGTTTGGTGTCTGTGCTCGGTTTGGTCGGGGTTGCTGCGTCTGTCCGTCGTGATTGCTGTACTGCAAAATTGTTCGGTAGATATCAGGGTTTTTTTTTCTCCCTTAGGGATAGCTGCCGATCCTGTTGGTCGGGATCGCTGCGAGATTTGTTCGGTGAAGCGTTTCGGATCCCGCGGGATCGCTGTTTCAGAGCCGTATCTGTGCGATTGGCTGACGTCAACCCTTTTAACGCGAATGTTTTTTTTTATATGAATTGGGCAGTCCTCTTTGTTTGAGCTGGTGACGTCACCAAATTGCTGGTTGATAAGGAGGAGGAGGGGGAGGCGGACTACAGTGTGGCGGAATGCGAGTCACTGGGCCTCGATCCGCCACACAGCAATTTACATGCATTTGGACGTTTTTCGAGCCCGGGTTCATTCGAAATGTCGGACTTGCTGGAATGCACTTGTTCAGGAAAGCCTTCCAAATGCATGGGGAGTGTTGTGCCCTGGAGCGAGCGAGAGGCCCATTGCCAACAACGTCGATTACAGATGTTGGTCGTTGACTTTTATGCTGTTTGGCGTAGACCGTTGACATCCATACACCCATCTCAAACTTTGACGTTGACTTTGACTTTCCACAAGAGAGCTGACCTATTTGAAGGCTTACAGTGCTGTTGACGCCTGTACAAAATTGATTTGTTGTGGTCGGTCTGTAGTCCTTTTGCACAGGTTGGCTAACCGCTGATGACTTCGACTTGCCTTCTTTGCCCCGTTTGCATTCACACGCGGATTTGTTGTCGTCGGTCTGGTGTCCTTTTGCACAGGGTGGCTGCCTGCTCATGACTTCGACTTGCCTGCTTTGCCCCGTTTGCTTTCACACGATGATTTAACTGTTCTTTTTTTTTTTTTTCTCCGTTTTTCTAGTATGTTCCTGATGCACGAGTCGTGCCTCGCACCTTATTCCCTCCCTATGTTTATCCGATGCCCTTTCGTGAACATTGACGCGTTGACTTAACACGTTGACATTTTTGTACTTGCGTTGCCATGTTGATGCACGAGTCCTCTCTCTCTCTCTCTCTCTTTGACTTTACACGTTTAACTTGACGTTTTTTGACTCACGTTACCATGTTGATGCACCAGTCTCTCTCTCTCTCTCTCGCTCGCTCGCTCGCTCTCCCCGCTATTTGGCGACTGGCTGTCCAGTGCGTCAACATCTCTTTGAGTCAACGAGCATGTGAACGTGCGTGAGAGGCAAACAGGCAGCAGCCAATTGGGCTGCGGCGTAGTTGATGGCCTCCGGCTCATGATCCCGTGAGTACACCTGTGCACGTGTCCACGTGCGTTGGCACGTGGGATTAATTTGCACGTGTCAACATGGTCACCGGCACTGTGAGGTGTGAAGTGGAACGTTTGTCGAATACGATCTGGGAGTTCGACTCTGTTTTGCTGCTGCTGCATGCTCACTTTGTGCGGAGTGCTCGGTCAAATTATTAATGGACGCCCGCCATTATCGCCGTATCTAGACTGAAAGCTGGCCCAAATACAGCGACGAAATGACCGGGGGTTCTAGGAGGGTGCAGAAGGTAGGGGGGTGCACACCAGCAGGATATCTGGTGTGTGTGCCGTTCGAAGCGGAGGTTGTGACTGCTGTGGTATTAAGCATCACTGCGAGGGCCCAGTCCCCACTGGTGCGATGTTCCTCGGAAATCGTGAACCTGGTCATAATCGCGCTCCTGTGCATGCTTTGTGAGCTTGATGAACATCGGAGGTTGTTACTGCTGTGGTATCAAGCATCACTGCTAGGGCCCAGTTCCCCTTGGTGCGATGTTCCTCGGAAATCATGAACCTGGTCATAATTGCGCTCCTGTGCATGCTTTGTGAGCTTGATGAACATCGCACGATTGCCCCGTTCCTGAGGTATGAAAAATACGGCACTGGTAGTAGTTGGTAGTGCGGCCTGTCGGAGCCATTGAAAAACTACTCCCTTCACCCGAATGTAACGCCCGGTCATTATCACTGTATCTAGACTGAAA